GGCAGACTTTGCAACACAAAGGACGAAGCTGCCACTGAGTGAAACGGCTATCACACAGACCCCTTAAATTCAGGGGTAATCAACCGTTCTTGGAGGAGGGCATTGGAATGAAGGGCATGAAGAGATGCTGAGGCCTTGCAGAAGAAACATGAGTCTCACTTTCTTCAGCTGTGCTGCTAAAGTTCGAGAGGATGAAGGACATGACGCAGTAGGGACTGGGACACAAACCTCAAGGGAGGCGTCACTGCAGCTGCTGCAGAGAGAAAGAACGTGCAGAGAGTGAGTGACGCCTGGGGTTACCAGGAGACGTCCTCCTCTGCCACATCCTTCTCCCGCTGGAGGAAGAGTCCAGCAGAGAGGTGTGGGGCCTGGGCAGAGGCAGTCACACGCCAGAGGACAGAGCAGGACAGGGGTCTTCCCACAGCTCTGCACTCTCAGGGCTGTCAGGGGTGGGAGTTCCTGCTGAGGAAACCACCCTGGCTAACTGAAAGGGAGAGGCGTTCACCACAGTCACCTGATACAAAGCCCGAGGAAAGGAGGCGGCCAACACGTCTCTTAAGAGAGGCCCTCACCAGTATGCTGTGGATCAGAACAGGAATTTGACATCCTGAGCTCAATTCTCTCAGCCTTTCACTCTCCGCCCATCCCACATGAGTGCCCAGAGACAGACACGTTGCCTCCTGGGTCACCGCTGCTCATGATCCAGCTCCAGGCACTGTGGACTGAAGGCTGAAGGAACCAAAGAGCAGTGGCAGAGACGATGGGCAAAGAAAACCTCTCAAGGAGATTTTTTTTTTCAAATAAAAGGGTTTCAGGGTACTTTTAACTTTTTATTTGCTGTTTGTAACTTGGCTTGTTCTTCAAAGCAATACATCAAATAGCTGAAATGTTTTGCTGAAATACGAAATGCACTGTAGTTCCAGTCATAAAGGTGTCCTTATCCACTACTGTTTGTCAATTAAAAATTGTCCTTTTGTAACTGTTCGCGAATCATGAGATGGATGGAAATATTAGATTTCACCACAAAATCCTAACCCTTACAAACTCTGTGATCTCCAGATAACATTTCCTAAGTCCAATCCCTTAAAAGAACATGGCCTGGGCTGCTGATATAGAGAGAAAGGAGGGGAGGGAAGAGGGAAAGGGGGAAAGGGAAGGAGAGGAGGGCAAGGGGAGAGATCTGCATCCAAGGAAGGCTGTATAAATAGACTTTGTTGCCAGGGACGAACTGCCAGGACCCTGCCTGTGTTTGGGCACTGGACTCTTCGAGACTTCTCCCTCAGGTGCTGGAACACAGCTATCTGCTTTCTGGATGCAGGGCTGTTCCCATGACGACACGTTCTGCTCAGACTGCCCTCCTGAGCGTTTGCTGCCCTGAGAGCAGAGTTCCTGAGAGCTGCCTGGACTCAGGCTCCAATGTCACCCTCCAGGTCCCCTAGGTCCTCTCACATTCACTACCCTCCCTGATGTGCCCAGTGACGCACACACCCTCAGTGAAGTCCAGCAGTCAGCTTCTGGCTTTGCCTTACTCTGCCCATGAACCCCACTCCTGACTGGCCCAGGGGTGCTGCACACAGAGCTTCCCTCCCATCTGAAGGATGCTCTCTCTCTCAGTCTTGCTCCTCCCTGGCCTGAAGTGAGGGCCAGGCCTCGCACTGGCCTCTCGGTGCCTCTAGCTATGCGTTGTCTCCCACAGCCACTGCCACCAATCCTAGAGCCAATGCCATCGAAGCACAAAGACTTAAACCCACACACCCAGTGGGCTGATCCGGCCCCCTGAAAGAATGTGTATCACCACCTCCTCGGGTTCCTAACAGCAAACTGGACGTTTCTTTCTGTTTTGTTTTGTTGGTACTGGGGATCAAACTTGAGACCTTGCACTTGGGAAGCAGGTGGCAGAACCGCTGAGCTAAATCCCTGGCCCCGAACTGGACTTTTCTATTCTCCTCCAAGCTCTCTCCACCTGCAGTCTTTCCTCTCCTAGTGAAATGATGCCCTGGAACCCCAGTCCTGGGGCCAAGACGGGGAGTCTTCCCCATGCCTTCCCGTCACATCCACATCCAGTCTTTGGCCAGTCTGCCAGTTCGGCCTCCAGCATGCAATCAGAACCTGAGGGGCACGGCACAACCTACTGTCACCGCTCTCTCCGGGTCACTCCAGGAGCCTCCTGGAAGATGATGGCTCTGCTCCCCTAAGGCCCCCCAGGCCGCCTCCCCACACCACAGCCTGAGCAAGACCCTTACCCTGTAAGGTGGTGATACACTCCCACTCTAGCTCTCCTGCAGCCCCCAATGGCTCAAGTCACCTACAGCCACACTGTTTATGACTGGCTTTGTGATGACACTTTTTCCCTCTTGCCCCTGTGCATCCTCTACCCCCCTGGGGACCTTTCACACACCCAAAGCCACTCCTACCACAGGGTCTTTGTCCTGCCTGCTCCTTTGTCCTAGCATACACTTTCCCCTGTGTTTGTCTCTCCAATTCAGCTCAGATATCCCCTTGCAGGCTGGGCCACCCCCGACCACATTAATAATCCCAGAGAACCCCAGCCCCCCACCTCCAAGCCTTTCACCCCCACTTTCACCTCTCCAATAGGCTGGTATGTACTGCCTTTACCACTCCCTTCATTACTGCACTTGTAGACTCTGTGTCCCTGAACTCAAACTCGGTGCCACAAGAGCAGGGATGTTTATCTATTTCCTCCCCAACTAACCCAAACCTAGCGGCCGACAAACAGCACATAAATGCCACTGACTGCATGAATAGATTAGTGAATATGGAGCTTGTTCAATAAGCAGTAGGAAGCCATTCAAAAATTTCCACAAGCACGGTCCACGTCCAGGGTGAGCTTTAGAGTCTGTGACTGACCCCAGCTGTGTTCCGGTCACGGAGGCACTTGGGACATCCCGGGGCCCGGGTGTTTTCAAACCACACAGAAAGCAAACGGGACAAAGACAGGTCTCAAGGACTTCAGTCTTCCTAAGAATTAAAATACTTCTTCACCCTTGTCAAGCAAACAGAACAAATGTTTCTGAGGAGCTGTGCCGTAATATCCCAAGCAGAAGATAGAAAGGACAGATTTCATGGCAGCAGAGCCATGCCTGGCATTACAGCAACCCCAGCTCCAGCCAGGCGGTTTCCTGGGGACCAGAATTGATCTTCAAGAGGCGCCAAGACGCCCTTTCATGAGCTCCCTCACAGCCTCCTTTCTGCCCCTGCAAGGCCTGACAACAGAGCCCACGTGGTAAGAGCGTCCCCATCAGGTCAAGGGGAAGAAACCAGATGTGAGCTCCAGCCTCCTGCTGTCCCCACCACACCGCACCCTCCCAAGGGTGCTGATGAGCAGTGAATTCCAGAGCCAGCACCCAGAGCCGGGAGACTATCAGAGGGAAATTTTCTGTAATTCACCTTAAAACAAGCAGCATCATAAAATGCTAACTTCGCCAGGCACCTGGCACTTGAGCTTCCTCAGTTTCTGAGTGTGGAGGAAAACATCTCTGCATGGACCTTGCCAATGGCAGCCATCTTTTGGGGGCTGTCACCTCTAAGAAGATGATTTTGGATCATTTTTTGCAATGGTAGAAATGTTCAAAGCCCAAGTATCATAGCTTTGAAAAGAAAGAAAAGCTTTTCCTGTAAGGAAAGAGGCAAAGAGGCTGTCACCAATGACCTGCCCAGTGAGGCGGTCTCTGGGAGCGAAGGACACCTCAGTTCTCCCCAACACCAATGGGTATCTGGCCGGAAGGAGAGAAGAGGAGGCATCAGGGAGAAGAGTGCACTTTTCCTGTCACCCCCAGTGGCCGCATCCAGCCAGGCCCTGCCTCCTAACATCATGGTCAGCCACGAACTCATTTACTGGGAAGCCCACAGAGGAGCACAGTGCTCATGGTCCACCACCTCCACACACAGGAGGCTTTGGAGGGACATCTCAGATCTCAAGCCTAACACCATCTGCCTACCAAAGGGAGAGGGAGTCACACTTTTACCCGGTGAGCCACTGCTCTACCCTGGCAGGGCAGGTGGCATGTATGCGAGCTGTCCCCTGCAGGGGATCCCTGAAGGGCAAGCATCTGTCCCTGTTCTCATGGCTAAGATGACACTCAAATCTGTCTCTTTAGTAACCCCACGTTCCACTGTGCCCTCAAGAGAGCTTCAGAAGGTGGCATCAGAGCCAGCAGGCAAGACAGCCAGAGACCCACAGCCTGCATCACACACGTACAGCTGCAGCAACAGGATGCTATAAGGACAACGTTCACCACGAACAAAGGAAGCAGCCTAGAGCGGTGGGCTCCCCTCCTCTGATACACCAGCACCCGGGTGCCCAAGCCTATCCTCAAGGTCACAGAGCCCCGGGGTCCACAGCCTCAGATGCTCCCTGCTCTGCCCACCCTGCACTACCCAGTTGATCCTCCAAGTCCCTGTATGCAACGCTTCCAGCTCTCAAACCGGACTTCCCGTTCTCTGCTGTTGCTGTAGATGACTCTGGCCAAATGGCACAGCTTCACATATCCATGCCCTCAGCCACTTCCCACGTACCGAAAGAACCAACACAGGCTTCCCTGGGACTCCTCAGGACCCTGGACTCTGCACAGCTCATTGTTTCAGAATTTGTGCACACACCCGCGGGTTACATGTAACACTCCATACATGCCTATAGCCACATCATTCACACAGACATAGCGTATGTGTGGCATGTGGCAAATTCAAGTTATGCTTTCTGTAATTTTCTGGGAATTTCTGTAATTATCCTTTCAGTCAGCAACTGATTGGATCTGTGGGTGAAGGTGAGAACCCATGGACACAAAGGTTGACTGTGTCTCAACCACTATATTTCTACCTGAGTAGCTCAAGTATATAAACAATAAACCCCGAGCCATTCAAAACAGAATGGATCTTTTAGAAAGTACTCCCGGGTGATGATGGAAAAGCTCAAAGATTTTTCCCTCAGCACCACTCCCCACAGAGGACCTAAAGGAAGTCTGCTGGCCACAGCTACTCACAGGTCACTGGTGTGGCACGGGTATGGTGCTGCCTGAGCCTGCGTGGTTGGCTCCAGGGCTTCTTGCCCAGTCTGCACCTCAACGATGGCTCTCTCGATCATGTCTTGCAGTGGGACAAAGATGTAGTTATATTTGAACCCGTCAGCTGGCAGACTCTGAGGATGGAACTTCCAGGAAGGGTTTTTTACCAAATCTGTCCTCATGCTGTATAAGATGCTGGTCCGAATCGTGTACGTGACATGGGGCAGCAACCTGAGAGATGCTGATCCGAAGCTCTTGCCAACTGAGGAACTGTTGAATATGATGCCTGGTGGCAGAGAAGTACAGGTGAGCAGTGCCAGAGCTCAGAGAGGGTTGCACGCCTCCTCCTCCTCCTCCTCCTCCTGCTGCTGCTGCTGCAGGAGGGAATCTGGCTCCAGCAAGGCAAAACCAGGCTCAGTCCTACTGGTAGCAAGACTGAAACATGATCCAATTCTCACTTCAATGTACTTTTTTTTTTTTAGTAAAATCATATGGTGGTACCAGTAATACAAAAACATAATTTGTTTTTTACAAGACTTGAAAAATTATACAAGACTGCTCAAATAGGAATCAGTATCTCTTCCCTTGAGTTGCAAATCTGAATGGATGCACATAATCCATGCCCCTGGGCTACCTGTCACTCCTATTTTAAATGTATGGATTGTGTTTTCTGCCACATGGAGCCTTTGAATTCCATGCATAAAACCTGCCACGAACTGAACTGTCTTCCTCCAAAGTGCATGTGATCAAGTCCTCACTCCAGGATCTTAAAATGTGAGTATGTGTGTGTAGACAGGGGTTACTGAGTTTAATAAAGGCCTTTAGGGTGGGCCCTAATTCAGTATGAGCATTCCTTTATAAAAGGGGAAAGTCAGACATAGAGACACAGGTAGATGTAAGGAGAAGGTGGCCATCTACAAGCCTGGGAAAGGAAACAACAGAAGACCATTCCCTCCCAGCCCTCAGAAGAAATCTACAGATGCCTTAATTTTATAATTCCAGCATCCGGAATGGTAAAACAACTGGTTTCTGTTGTTTAAGTCACCAACCCACAGTACTTCACCAAGACAGCCCTGGCAAACCAGTACAAAATCTCAGTAAAGCACGAAGAAAGGGGATGGAGGTATAGTTCAGTGACAAGCACCTGTAGCTTGCACAAGGCCCTAAGGTCCATCCCTAGTATCAAAAGAAATGATAATAATTAAATGTTGATTCAAAAAGAATACAGAGGATTAATAATGGGTTCTAATTGACCACTGTATTTCCTCACCCTCAACCCAAAATAGCACAATACTATGATAAAAATAAAGATGGAGGAAATTAGAATCTAACTTTAGTTATGAAAATTGCTATGTATCATGAGAGATTTAACCATAAACAATGTCAAAAAATAGTAAAAACAGATGCATCCAGTAGCATTATTCTCAGGGTGGTGAAAAGCAGTTAGTCATTATGGCAGGAGACACATCTCTTCATTAATTCCATGTGTACATTTCTGCTTTCTTTTATGTTTTATCTGGAAAGGCTTCGGTTTTCTCTGAGCCAACATAAAACACCGTTAGGGAGAAATATGTGAGATGACAACTATTTGAGCCAGTGCCTTTGTGACTGAATTTGTCTATTACTTACTGGCCAAGAGCTTGTTCTTCTGCATAAGCTTCTGTGCTTTGGACTCCAGGACATCCACTGACTCCATTGCCTGGAAGCGGTCCAGTGACACACAGGAAGAGAGGTTGACCAGGGCACTGCCCAGGAAATGGAAATATCCAGCCCCTGAGTGGTTGAAGACCTTGTCGAGCATCCCTCCTGAGGAAAGCAAGCAAATCGGAACACATCTACTTCTACTCCACTCCCTACTTTTGTACAGTGGGGCTCAGGCAATTGACTTTCAAAATGAGTAAAATTCCTTTATTAAATAATTATTCAAAATGGAGTCAAAATCTGATCATATGCAAAATTTGCCATTTATTTGCTGAATGCAAGCTCTCCACTTCTCTTATGTGTTCTGTTCAACGCTGATAAACTAAGTAAAAAAATAGCTGATACACAAGAATAAGACAGTGTGTTAACTTTTTATATATGTTCTCTGCAATGTCAATATTCATATGTAAATGGAAAAACATAGTTAACATATGAAGGTAAGACTGCATCACACAGAAACTTTTGACCATGGGAAGAACACAAAATAAAAATAGAAGAAAAAAATCTGAAGCATAAAACACACCCAGGAAAGGAAGAACTCAAATTATCATTATTTGCAGATGACATAATACGCTATGTAGAAGACCCAAGAACTCCACCAAAAAACTCTTAGAATTAATAATGAGTTTTAGCATGTAGCCAGATACAAAATCAACACAGAAAAAGTAGTAGCATTTGTGGACACCAATAATGAACTCAGTGAGAAATATATTATGCAAACAATACTACTCACATTAGCGTCAAGAAAATTAAATGCCTAGGATTAACTTAGCCAAAGAAGCGAAAGACCTCTATAATGAAAACTGCAGTACACTACAAAAGGAGATTTAAAAAGATGTCAGAAAATGAAAAGATGTCCCCTGCTTGCGGATAGACAGAACCAATGCTGTCAAAATGGCCATAATTCCAAAACAGTTCTACAGATTCAATACAACTTCAATCAAATTACCAACAGCATTCACCATGGAACTAGAGAAAACAATCCTAAAATTCATAAGAAACAAAAGATCCCCACAGTAGCAAAAGCAATATGGGGCAAAAAGAACAAAGTACAAGGCATCATAATACCTGACTTCAAGCTATGCTACCTACAAAGTAACAGTGATAAAAACAGCAAGGCACTAGAACAAAAATAGATACATGGATCAAGGAAACAGAACAAAGGATACGGAAACATCCCCAGACACATTCAGCTATTTGACCTTCAACAAAGTGGCCAAAAACATACACTGGAAGAAAGACAGCCTACTCAACAAATGATACTGAGAAAATAGTCTGTTTGCAGAAGACTGAAGCTGGACCCATATCTCTTACCATGTACCAAACTAAAATCAAAATGGATCAAAGATCTAAAAATTAATACAGAAACAATAAACCTACAGGAAGATAAGATAGGTAAAACATTTGAAGACATAAATGTAAGCAAGGATTCCAACTGCATAAGAAATAACAGCAAGAATCAACTAATGGGATTACTTCAAATTTTAAAACTTCTGCACAGCAAAGGAGTGAAGAGAGAACTACAGAAGGGGAAAAAATTATCAACTATTCCTCATAAAGGAACAAAAAAGTAAAAGACCCAACTAAGAAATGGGCAAGTGACATGAACAGATACTTCTCAGAAGAAGAAGTACAAATGACCAACAAATATATGAAAACATGTTCAACATCTCTGGCCATTAGAGAAATATAAGTTAAAACAATGCTCAGATTCTACTACCTTACACCAGAAAGAATAGTATTCATCAAGAAATTGAAGAATAACAAATGCTGGTATGGTTGTGGGGGAAAAATGATCCCTCCTACACTGCTGGTGGGAATGGAAACTAGTACAACCACTATGGAGATCAATATGGAGATTCCCCAAAGAACTAAAATTAGAAATTGTATATGACCCAGCTATTCCCCTTCTAGGTATCTGCCCAAAAGAGCTAAAAACATCATATTATGTGATATGGGCACACCATGTTTACAGCAATACAATTCATAAGAGTTAAATCCTATAAGCTGTCCTGTAAGAGTTAAATCCTGTATGTCCAACAACAGGAAAATGGACAAAGAAAATGTGGTATCTTCATAATGGAATACTATTGCACAATAAAAAAGGATAAAGTTGAGACATTTGTAGGAAATAGATACACCTAGAAAATTAAGTGTTGAGTGAAATAAATCAGATGCACGAGTTTAAACCCCCTATGGAATCTCTCAATTGAGTAAAGCAATGCACAAACAAAGGAAAATAGAGCTTGGACAGCAGGAAACAAGAGGATAGATCTCTTGCAAATAGGAAGGCATCCAGGAGACCACGTGCAAGGGGTGAGAGGGAGAGCAAGGGGAAGTACGGAGATTTAAGATGTGTCATATACAGGTACTAAATACTCAACATGAGCATAAATATCGTATGTCATAAACATGAGCATAAAATAACAACAACAAAGAGAATGAAAATGGGAAAAGGTGATTTTGAGGTGGAGGGACTGGAAGAGGGTAGGAAGGGGAAGAGGATTAGGAAAAGAGGCAAGCTGTTTTATGAACTCCCCAAGATGAATATAAATTTTGTGTACTGTAAATATTTCCTAAAATTAAAATTTTAAAAAGAAAAGAAAACACCTAACAGCAAAAAAATATACATAGATGTATGACAACAGGAAAAGAACTGGGCAACTACTTAACCATGGTTGACTTGCTAAAGACAAGGTAAATGTAATGTTGAATTTTCATTTTAAAAATGTAATAAACCTATGGTAAGTACTACTGAGAAAGAATCTATTGCAGAGAATTCAGTGAAAAAAAAATACTGTATCTACCTGGGGTTGAGTAATTCTAAACCATGCTGACTTAGTTTATTTCTTGTCACTGAGACAAAACACCTCACAAAAGTTAAGGAAGGAGAGGTTTATTTTGGCTTACAATTTGTACAGGTTTCAGTCCATAGTTGGCTGGCTCCACAGCAGGTCAGCATGGAAGATGGGCATGGCAGAAAAGAAACAGTCTATGGCGGGGTAGACAGGGAATACCTGGCCTCCCTTTCCCTTTTATTCCATTCAGGCTACAAGCCTAATGGTTGGTGCCACCCACCCAGAACTAAGCAAAACCAAATGGTAAACTGATCCAGTTATCACACACCCTTAGTCCATATTCCCACATAAATGATCCAGCCTCCTCCAAAAGTTCCACATATGAGCGCATGAGGCTTTGAGGGGACATCTAGATATAAGTCATAACAAATGCCTTCTCTGAAGTCACTTTATGACATTAATTTTTCAAAAACAATGATCACAGTGTATTTCCATTCAGGAAACCCCATCCTCAGACTATGGACTATAGTCTCTGTCCTGCATTTGTGCAGTAAATGAATGTTGGCAACATCTGGGCTCTGCAAGCTGAACTTGAAACATTTTTCAGGGAAAACCACTGAGGATGCCTTGGTACTTCTGCTTGGGTTTCAGGAAGGAGTTGAGAAAACCAAATGACCTGGAGAAAGGCAGTGTAGGGAGGGAGAGCTACAGGAGACATGACAGGAGCCATGGAAGTGGACAAGAACTGCTTCCTTAGTTTGCTGTGCACAGGTGCTGCCTAGGACCTACCATCACAGCCCGAAGCCACAAGGTCACTGTAAGGACAAGTGTGGTCCCCACTCTAATGGTATAAGAGGAAGCTGCACACCTAGTGGCTGGGGTTTGCACAGCAGATCCAGAGGATTTCCCTTTTTTCAACTCGGGATTTTATAAAGAATTGAAAAGAATGGAACATGAATTCAACATACCACATACACAGAAGCCCACAGCAGATCATAAAACCATGCAGACAAAGTCATCATGTGAGGCACTAGTGATCACTCTCTTGGCTATGGCGACCTATTCATTCCAGTTAAGCATCTGGGAGACCTCAGCTTTTGGCCCTCAGGAGAGCTAGGCTACAGCTTGCCCACTAAGAAGAAAACAGTTCAAGCCAGAGTCCCCAGTGCCAACAGAAATATTGACTGGCAGTTTTCATCTCTCCCCAGCATCACAGCCAACAGTGTCTAACATTTACAGCAGGAAAGGACCTTCGACTGCTGCTTTGATGATGCAACTGGGGAGGAACTAGAAGTCAGGGTCTTCCACTTCTATGTGCCCTGAGCCCCCCAGCTGGGAAGGAGTTTCCACAGTGAGAGATGGGGTGGGTGCAGGATCCCAGAAAGAGCATTGCAAGTCCCTTGGAGCAGTTCAGAGTCTGGGCACCAATGGCCTGGCCTTGGCTTTGACCTGGGCCTGAAGGACCGAATGGCCAGTGACTAGATATGGCTGCCATATGATTCATAGCAGAGAAGACAAGGCCCATCCACTGGGCCATGTGGTCTGAGGGCCACAGCAAGTGCAACATCAGCTGTGGATGCTCTGTTCTCACCCTGCCCATGATGATGGACAGATGACAACGTACTCTATCGTTGTGCAGGTCAGATGCAGTGAAGCGTGAAGAACAGCTGGTGGCCACCAAGGCTGGGGCAGGATACCCACTCAATGTGGCATTGTATTCTAGTTATTAGTGTGTAAAACTGATTCCCAGCAGAGGCACAACAGAGATAACACAGCCCATCAAAGCAATGCCCTGGGTAGTGAATGGGCTCCAGGTTTCCACACTCACCCCCACCCCAGCCAGGATGGAAAGCCGGGACTGTCTGTTGTGGAGATGTTGACCACAGGGGCTGCTGCACCTCCAGCGTAGAGTGGCTGGTGCAGGGGCAAACCCCACAGCCCAGCTGTAATATTTTCTGGTCCACTTTCTCCAGCATGACATCAGGTGTCTGGATCAGACCTTGCATGTTGACCTCAGTGGGCAGTGCTGACCTGTGCTGTGCCAGGTCACAACTCTCCAGTGTTCCCACTGCAGCCACAGGAGTAGGGGGAGGTTGAGGAGGGGAAGGCTGGAGGGAGGGGGAGGCGAGGAAGGCAGAGAGGGGAGGAAGGGATGAAGGGGAAGCAGAGGATAGAGGAGGAGGAGGGACTGGAACAGGGGAGGACAGAGGGAATAGAAAGGGAAGGGAGAGCACAGGGTGGGGGAGGGAGGAAGAGGCAAAGGAGAAAGAGAAAGAGGAGGAACAAAACAAAGAGGAAGATGAGGAG